AGGCCGGTGCCGCCCGCCCCGCGCAGCCCCGGTGCGGGGCCGCGGGCGGCTGTCACGGGGAGAAGGAGCCGCGGGCCCCGCTTGAGGAGGGTCGGGGGCGCTGGGGCGGAGACAGCGGGCTCCGGGAGCCAGGGCCTGCGGGAGGGCGGGACGGCACCGCCGCTTGCCTCAGTGCAGAGTCGTGTTTGGGCTCGGAGTTGTTGGAGTCCCGTTGGAATGTGCGAGCAGCCAAATGGGCTTGTTGGGAAGAAATTGTTACCTGTGAGGGCGGTGACGCCCTGGCACGGAGGGGCTGTGGCTGCCCCTGGAGCCCTGGCAGTGCCCAAGGGCAGGTTGGACAGGGCTTGGAGCAAGCTGGGATAGTGGAAAGTGTCCCTGGCCGTGGCAGGGGGTGAAACGGAATGAGCTTTAAGGTCCTTTCCAACCGAAACCATTCTGGGATCCTAAGCGGCTCTCTCTGGGAGCAGGGACAGGACCCAGGGAACGGCTGGAGTTTTGTCAGGGCAGGTTTAGTGTGGATGTCAGGGAAAGGCTCTTCCCCAGAGGGTGCTGGGCACTGCCCAGGCTCCCCAGGGAATGGGCACAGCCCCAAAGCTGCCAGAGCTCCAGGAGAGTTTGGACAATGCAGTCAGGCACAGGGTGGGATTGTTGGGGTGTCTGTGCACAGCCAGGTGTTGGACTCAGTGGTCCTAGTGGGTCCCTTCCAGCTCAGGATATTCTGTGATTCTGTGAAGTTGCCCTGTCACAGTAAATCTCAACCCAAAAGCTGAAAGTCTTCAGTGCAGCTTCCAGGGTGACATCATCTGCTGGGTGGTCTGTCTCTGCTTCTTACCTGGTGGATCAGGAATTCCACCCACTCCTGGTGGCTCCCTCACAGGCTGGAAGGCATTTGCTGAGATCAGTCTGACCCTCGGCTGGTGGCCCTTCAAATGGCATGACAAAGAGCAGTGTCTCAGTGCATGCCCTGTGCTGACTCAGCTCAGCCTGCTCGTAAAGGTGGCTGGAGGTGATGGACTTCCCAGAGCAGGGAGAAAGCAGGATGTCATTGCCCTGGGGCTGAGCTGCAAAAGCTCTGAGAGATTCCCTTACTCAGAGGGGCAGAAATCGGCCTCTGACAGGGTAGTTTGAACCAAAAGGGAGATTCCCTCTCCCCAGCCTCTGAGTGGATCATAACATGCAGGTTCCTTGGCACTGGGGTGAGCAGAGTTCTGTGGGTTATAAAGAGTAGATGGATTTTCCCTGCCTCTGGAGCAGGAGCTCACAGATAATTTGTTGGGCTCTCTGAGGAGCAGCTGCCTTCTCACCACAGCCATGCTCAGCAGTTAAGGTCTGATGATTTTTTGTTCCCTTCTCTTTCTGTGTATCCCAAGCTCAGCCTCTGCCTCCCTCTTGCCTCCGTGGGTGCTCGTGGCCTTGGCAGGGCTGTTTCACCCTTGCCTTCCTTGAGAGTGTACTCTGAGGCTTATTGCTTTAGGAACAGCTCTTTGGGGAAGATGGTGAGCTAATCCTGCTGCTAGATCCTCCAACAGAACCAAGAGTGACAAAATTTCATGTTCACAACTGCTCTTGGGAGAACCCAGTTCCTCTGCCCTTCATTTTTTCTTTCTTTTTACCTCCTAAAGGGGAAGGGGGCAACAAGTTTTCTTCTTACTACATCAGAAGAAAAAAAAGAAGGCAGCACCCCCATTTCCTTCCTGCTGCATGTAACTCACAGCACTCCAGGTAAGATGTTGGGTTTTCTATTTCCCCTTGTTCTGTGCAGTTGGTGTTCTGCTCCCAGTGCTGTGTTGACACAGTCCTGTGCCCTGTGGTTTCCTGATTTTTGTGGCATTTGTTGCTTTCTCCAAAAGATGGGGAAGGACATGGAGCTGTTGGAGTGAGTCCAGAGGAGACACCAAGATGATCAGAGAGATGGAGACGTTCTCATGTGAGAACCAGGGTGGTTCAGCCTGGAGAAGCGAAGCTTCAGGGTGACCTAATTGTGGCCTTCCAGTGCCTGAAGGAGCTGACAGGAAAGACAGAGAGAGACTCAGGACAAGGGATGGAGTCACAGGACGAGGGGGAATGGCTTCCCACTGTCAGAGAGTAGTTTTAGATTGGATATTGGGAAGAAACTGTTTCCTGTGAGGGTAGTGAGGTCCTGCCACAGGGTAGTTTTAGATTGGATATTGGGAAGAAACTGTTCCCTGTGAGGGTAGTGGGGTCCTGCCACAGGGTGCCTCTGGATCCCTGACAGTGTCCAAGGCCAGGTTGGATGGGGCTTGGTGCTACCTGGGCTAGTGGAAGGTGTCCCTGCCCATGGCAGGGGTGGCACTGGATGGCCTTTAAGGTCCCTTCCAACCCAAACCATTCTATGGTAGGGGAAGGAGAGAAGAAGCCCTAAGACCTAGCAGTGTTCAGCTGCACCTTGTGAAGCTTTGTGCACTCTGGTCTGATTTCCCCAGGGACACGCAGCCATCCTCAGAAATCCCTTGGCACAGCTCCACAAGATTGACAGGCTGTCCTGCAGCTTCATGTTTAGTAAGTGGGTTTGCCAAGTTTGCACAAAGCCTGCTTGGGCATATGGACATGTGCTGTGCTGCAGTGTTCATAAATTCCAAATAAAAAGTCCTCCAAAGGCAGACATGCTCTTCATGTGCCAATCCCTTCAATTCAGAGATTCCTCAGAGTGGGCACTGTGAGCCTTGATATTCCCAGCCTGCTTGAAATGGTTCTGACATGTGCAGGACTCTGCTCAGTCCACATTGCAAATGCCATCCGGCTTGAAAGCTGCTTATGCCATGAGTGGACTTTAACAAGCTTATTTACTTTCCTTTTTTTTTTTTTTTGGATGAGTTTACATCTCACTTTCATTCATTCCAACTTTTTACCATATATGGTCAGGGCTTCTTTTCAAACTTTGCCAAAATAAGATGTGATGATGTGCTGGTGCATCCCCCAGTCCGCCTCCCTGGCCCTGCTCTGGGATCTCCTGATAAGCCCTGGTGGACTCAGCTGAGTGGTGAAGGGTCCCCTGACTGCACCAGCTGGGCAGTGAGGTGTTCTCTGAGCCTACCAGGAGCTCTCGTAGAGGTGGGAACAACGAGGAACATCCCAGCCAAGGTGGGAAACAGGGGATGAGCCATGTGTAGCCCGGGTGAACATTGACCTGGATTGCAGCTCGAGCAGAGCAGCACCATTGTGAATTGTAGCCCAAGTGGAACAATCCCATTCTTGCTCTACTTGGGAAAGAGTCCAGGAGTTACTGACCATGGGTATGGCCGGATGGGCACTTAGTGATGGCCACTGTGAAGTCTTTGGGACCCTACAAAAGTGATCCTGAGTGAGGCCCTCTGAGCTCTCCTGGGCCCCAGCTTTGTTTTTCACTCTCCCGTTATATATTTTCTGGCACGTGTCAGAAGTGCCACATATGATGGGTACCTCAAGTTAACAAGGCACTTGAGGTCAGATGTGTGCTGGCCAACTTCTCAAAAGTCTCAGGAGGATTTAGGTCCCGGTGTCTCCTTCCCGGTTCCTGTTTTACAAAGGAGCTTTCCCTATTACTTTCTCTTTTCAAGATGCTTAGAAGGTACAAGTGGTGAGAATTTTAATCCATTATGCAATCAGGTGCCTATTTTTAATACCTGTGCCATTTTTAATGTTCCGTTCACATGCAGATGTGCTTTTATTGAGGCTGGCAGAACAAAGTGTTTTGCAGGCCAAAGCCGCAGGGAATGGGGGTCTGTTGGGGACTGGTTTAGCAGAACTCTTGTGCAGGGGAATGCGTAGCATGGAGAGATCAGAGAGCTTTTGGGATGCTTTTTTAAGCAATCTCAAACACACTCCTTCATGACAGAGCTGCTGCCAGGTGTGTGGCAGTTCAGTGGGTGAGGAAGGTCTCGAAAAACTCCAGTGTTTCAAACTGTGTGGAAGCAGGTGAAAAAAGTTCTAATTTCAAGTGATTGGCTCTGCTGATGACAGGATCCTTTCCCCCTTTTCCAGTAGAGTCGTGCACCTGCAGCTGGGACAGCCATGGAGAAGAGCGGGAACATTCAGCTGGAGATTCCTAACTTCAGTAACTCTGTCCTGAGCCACCTGAACCAGCTGCGCATGCAGGGTCGGCTGTGCGACATCGTGGTCAACGTGCAGGGCCAGGCTTTCCGTGCGCACAAGGTGGTGCTGGCTGCCAGCTCACCCTACTTCCGTGACCACATGTCCCTGAACGAGATGAGCACCGTGTCCATCTCCGTCATCAAGAACCCTTCTGTGTTCGAGCAGCTCCTCTCCTTCTGCTACACTGGCAGGATATGTCTGCAGCTGGCTGACATCATCAGTTACCTGACAGCTGCCAGTTTCTTGCAGATGCAGCACATCATAGACAAATGCACGCAGATACTCGAGGGGATTCATTTCAAAATTAACGTGGCCGAGGTGGAAGCGGAATTGAGCCAGACTAGGACGAAGCATCAGGAGAGACCGCCCGAGTCTCACCGGGCGACGCCAAACCCGAGCCGCTCCCTGAGTCCGCGTCACAACACCGCCAAGGGGAGCCGCCTGGGCCAGGTTAGCACGGTGCTGGACATCCGGGAGCTCAGCCCGCCCGAGGAGTCCACCAGCCCCCAGATAATCGAGCAGAGTTCCGACGTGGAAGGCAGGGAGCCCATCCTGCGGATCAACAGGGCGGGACAGTGGTACGTGGAGACGGGCGTGGGAGAGCGCGGGGCGCAGAACGACGAGGAAGTGCGGGTGCTGGGAGGAGTGCGCATTAAGACGGAAAACC